GAGTTGGCTGCTGTCATCTGTTGAGTGATTCTGCCTGAGCCCTTTGTGGCACCTAGCACAGTGCCTTGGATACAGTAAGAGCTCACTACACATTTCTGGAATTAGGCTCAAACGTAGCAACATCTGAAATGATCTGGCACATTCTCAGACCCTGGGAGGCACATCGGGACCAGTAGAGCCTGGCACCATCTGGAATTCTCTGGGATTCCTTTGATCCGTGGCATGGGCCTGGCCAGGTCATTAGAGAATGTCGTGGCCGTGCAGAAACTTAGAGCCCAGTCCGAAAACGGGACCAGGGACGTCTCAGGAAGAAGCCAGGGGCTTGGCCTTTGAAGCGACAACTGGGTGCATGGCTCTGACCAAGGTAAAAAGGAGGTGCCCCAGGGCCCGGAGGTGGCAAGGTGAAGGCTTCCCAAGGCCACCTCTGGAGCACAGGCCCTGCTCTGGCCTGGTGGGTTTTCTCTAAACCCATATTAACATTTTCGCTGCGGCATTCGTCTGTAGCCAAATGATGTTTCTAGGCCGCTGACTGCGGTGTTTGACTTTAACCCACGAGCTCAGTGTTCCAGAGAGGAAGCTTAGGAGAGCAGATGAACATTTCTCTATATTTTTGTGTTTTTCAAGTATGAATAACAATAGGAAAATTTTAAACTTTAATCATTTATTTTAATAAAATGTAACACCTTAACTGTATTTACTTAAAATACAAACACTGTAATTATTTTCTGTGGGCTTTTGACACATTTTGGAGAACAAACTTGAAATCGATGAACGCAGTGAAAAGGTTAAGAGCAGCTTCTATGAACTGAGCACCTACTGTGTGCCCGGTGCTTTATGCACATTAGCTCCATGACAGGTTCAATTATCCCCATTTTACAGACGGGTGAAGCGACTCACCCAGGGCACGAGGCGTGAGCTTGTCCTTGAACCCAGGTGGACCAGCTCCCAGGCCTGCTCTTCCCACCAGTGTCCACCTGCCTCTCCATCCCAAATGCATCCTTCAAAACCCTGCAAGTGCACCCCTTGATTTACCCCAGGGAAATGCAAACTTATGTCACACAGAAACCTGCAGGTGAAGGATCGTAACAGCCCAAACCAGGAACCAGCCCAGGTGTCCTTCCATGGGTGAATGGTTAAACCAGTCGTGCTACGGGCGTACCATGGAATATTACTCAGCATTAAACAGGAATTGTGCTGAGTGAGGAAAGCCCACACCCCAGAGGTTAATAACTACATGAAGCCGTTTATGTAACATTGTTGAAATGGCAAAATTACAGAAATGAAGAGTAGATTGGTGGTTGCCGGGGGTGTGGGAAGGGGGTACAGGAGTGGGAAGGAGGTGGGTGTGGTTATCAAGAGGCAACGGGGGGGATCCTTGTGGTGACACAGACGGTCTGTATCTTGAATGCATCAGTGTCAATTTCCTGCTTTGATATTAAGCTACAGTTTTGCAAGATATTAGTTGCTATTGGGGGAAACCGAGCAAATGGTACCCAGGATTTCTCTATTGTTGTATAACTACATGTGAATGCATAATGATCACAAAATGTAAAGTTTAAATTAAGAAAGCCCACTCGGTCTCTGCATTTGTCAAAACGCATAAAACTAAACACCAAGAGAATGAACCGTATTGTGTATTTTTTACAGCGGCCCATGTGGCTGCAACTGCCTATAACCAGGAGCCCAGGTGGCAGCTGGGGTGAGACGCGCACGGTGGGGCGGGGCAGCCCTGGCCTTCACCTTCAGCAAATCACTGGATTTCGGTTTCCTCTTCGTTAAAATGAAAGTGATAGCACCTTTGCTCAGGGGCTGCTGGAAGATTTAGATAAGAAAATGTGGGTGAGGGTGTGGCCCAGAGAAGGCCCCGGACATTGGTGCTCACTCCCTTGGCACAAACAAGTCTCCGCTGTGGTCAGCACTCTTGTCAGCATCCTCCTGCCTTGTCTTGTATTGTCACTTCCCTGTCTCCACATTTCCTCCCACCTCTCTGCTGAGGCTCCCTGCCCAGTGCTCATGGCA